TGACAGCAGCTGTGAAAGGAATCAGAGATAAACTACAGGACATTCTGAGGGACACTCAACCAGATGTTCTACTGACACAACCAGAACCAGAAGCAAAGACCAGAGCTGGATTCTTAAAATGTTCACGAGAAATCACTCTGGATCCAAACACAGCACACAGACATCTGCTGTTATCTGACGGGAACAGAAAAGTGACATTAATGGAACAACCTCAGTCTCCTCCTGATCATCCAGACAGATTCACCAGTTGTTATCAGGTCCTGAGCAGAGAGAGTCTGACCGGACGCTGTTACTGGGAGGTGGAGAGGAGAGGAGGAGGAGTTCTAGTAGCAGTTTCATACCAGAACATCAGCAGAGCAGGGAGCTCAAATGAATGTGTGTTTGGGTACAATGACAGATCCTGGGCTTTACATTGTTACAGCAACAGCTATGAATTCTGTCACAGCTTCACTAAAACCTCCGTCTCAGGTCGTCCCTCATCCAGAGTGGGAGTGTACCTGGATCACAGTGCAGGTGTGCTGTCCTTCTACAGAGTCTCTGACACCATGACCCTCCTCCACAGAGTCCAGACCTCGTTCACTCAGCCGCTACACGCTGGAGTTCGACTTTATCGGAATGGATCCACTGCAGAGTTCACCAAACTCACACTGACTGAAGTCCTTTAAAGGTGAATAAAGTTTTACCTCTAATTCGGTGGCATTTTACAGATTTACAGATTATACATGATATTGAGTAAAATCTTTTTTTTTAAAAATTAATTTACATGTTGATTGTAAAACAACAACAAAAACGAGCCCATTTGTTCTACAACATGTAACCATAAGTTTACACTGTTGAGCTAAAAATGATAATTTCACAGATACTTGCCAATATTTGTACACACTGGGCTCAGAATTTGTACATACGTCTTAACTTTGTTTTTGTTAAAAGACAGATAATAGCTTGTAAAATCACTGAGAACTTAACTGTTAAAAAAAACCCAACAGTCAACATGTAAATTCATGCTCTTTAAACAGATCAAAACTGCACATAGCATCTAAAAATATGCATTTGTATCAAGAGTGCTTTCACAGTGACTGAAGTACTGTATTTAAATCTTTATTTTTCAGATATTTGCTGTCATTTGAAAGACAAATTATACATATGAGAGATATTTGATATCTGTTTTCTATATTATGTTGTAAAAAAAAATGTGAAATTACACATTGATTGTAAAAAAAACAACTTTAAAATTGCGTTAAATAGTATGATTTTATATTCATTTCAACCTGCTGTTTTAGAAAAACGTACTCTTATCATACAGATTTTCCGGTTAAATTACAGATAATAACTAGTAAAATCTCACAAAGAAAAAACAAACAACCTCTTAATTCCCACACAGAAATCTGTATTTGTACAATTTATTATTATTATTATTTTTTACAATGGTATGAATAGTATTTTATAGACATTTTCCATGATTTAAAGGAAAATGTATGTATATTAAAGACTTGTAAACTGCTCCTGCAACACTGCAGTTCCTCTCACAGGATCGAGTCTGCAGCGGAGTCTGCAGGGTGTTTTATTTTGAAAAATGACTAGCTCGTCTTCCCGTCACTTCCGTTTGTGCTCGTTTCCCGCCCTTGACTGTCAGTTTTTATGCCCGGCTGCTAAACGAAGCCGTCAGTCAAAAACAAACGTCTCAGGAGAGCTGCTCTGGAAAGTGGGAGAGACTTAATACTGAGACAGAGAAAAAGTAAACATGTTAAGCAATAAAAATTAATTTTATTCATTTATGAAACTTTTCAATAGAAAAAAAAACAATGATTATTTGTTATGTGCGGAATGACCGGTCCGTAGAAAAATGTCTTGCTTAAAACCGGTCCGTGGTGCAAAAAAGGTTGAAGACCGCTGATTTAAATGACTCGAGCCAGTTTACATAATACGGAATATTGCTTAAATGTGTTTTCTAAATAAATGACTGTCTGATACATAAATAAAGCTAAGTGCTGAGCATCAGTTTCTACACTTTATTGGAGGGAATCGTCGGAGAACAAACACCAAATGACTAAAATAAATACATACATAACTGTGATATATATATATATATATACACAATCACAGGTACACAATCAACAAGCTAACAAGCAAGTTAAAACACAGTAAACTCACCCGTGAAGCCAGGAAAACACCGACCGAAAAATGAAAATAAAAACCACACAGATAATTCAGTTCAGTGACATGTTTAGTTTAGTTAAAAATCACTTTATTACAAATACAAATGCCGAAATTAGATTTTTAAAATGGCGCCTGCAGGTTGGTCTTTTGATTGACACTCGCTGCAGCCCACAGGAGGCGTCCACAGCTTACAGTAGCCAATCAGAGTCCGCGTTGAAAAGAGGTGCCCACCCTTTCATTGCACTGAACCAATCGAAACCAAGTGTAGTGATGACTGACGTATCCGTCAGCCAATGAAATACCGAGAACGCCGTTCTGCGTTTTGGAGAACTACTAGTGAAGGATATCTTATGAATAACCTGCAAAAGTGTCACAATATGTCAAAAATAAGAATTGCTTTTACACCAAAGGGCTTTTTTCAATTTATTTATTTTTACTCAAATATGCACAAATGAACATCCAAATATTCTTTTCTGGGAAACACCTGAGAAAAACCTGTAAAAAATGTCTGTTTTTGTGATGTTTTTGTCAGTCTGCACCATGGTTGAGTATTTCCAATGCAGTTCCATTTATTTATGTGCACTTTATTCATGTAAAGTGGATTACTTTACACCATGACTGTAACAAAACAACCAAAAACAGAACAGGTCAAAACAATAAAAATGTCCACATTAAAAATCTGTATTTTTTCTTTAAACATTACTTTGATATCCAACCAGTTTTAGCAGAGTTTTGTCTCAAACTGTGATGTTTTACTGAAAACCAGCATTGAATATGTTGCCAGTAAAACATGGAGGCGATTTTTAATACCACATTAAAAATCTGCTGGAAGGCCGCTGAATGACTCACTGCAGCCTGAAAGGAGGCTCTGTTGCCGGGCAGAAGCACATCATGGACACAATCTGGAGACAAAAAGGAAACTCTTCATTTTCACTGCGTAGGAGGAAACAAACAGGCCTTGTTCCTGATGCCTGGTGGTTAAATTCTCCTTCTGCTTGCGGTTGGAGGCAGAATGTGGAGCAGAGATTCGGGCTGATTGGCAGGTGTCCATTGAAATGCAGCTGAAAGAGCTTCCTGTCTGCACAAAGCCTGCCAAGGATGCAGGTAAATGTCAGGACACCTGGAAAAATGGTGTTTTTGTTCCACCGCTGGAGGTTGGAAAATGGCCCCCGAAAGGTCTGAACCATTATTCCCAGCAGAGGACGGAGGTTTGTCACTTCTTCTGAACTCCTGACAGTCCGAGACGACGTCCTGAAGAATAAACCTGCAGGTCGCTGCAGAAACACAACCTTGGACCTTTTATTAATAATTATTCATACAGAAAAAATAATGACACGAGCGACGACAGGATTCATTCCTCAGTTCATTATTATCTTAGAAATAATAGCTGAAGAAACTAGTTGTAAAATGCAAACTGATTTTAACTGAAACTTTTACAATAATTGAGTTATTTTACAGATTTCACCCTGTTTTTACTGATTTCTCTCAGATATCTGTCATTATTTATATTATATTATATAAAAAAGTATTCTACATCAGTGATTTGTTTTTATTTTTTTTCATTCTTTATTCTTAATAGAAATTAAGGATTGAAAAATAGTAAAAACAATAAAATCAAGTATTATTTGAGATATTTTCCCTGTTCTGCTGTTGCCAGTGACTTGTTGTATTTCTTCACGATTCCATCAGACTTCCAACCTGCACCATGTAGGGAGACAAAACCAAAGAAAAACTGACTGATGACGCTTCACACAGAAGCTTCCTGTTGGGTTTCTTTAGCTACTCCACTGTTTATACAATCTGTGCATTATTTTTTGGACATTTGCTAAAAAACAAAGCGGTTGAATCATAAATGGAACTGAACTGCAGCAGTGAGAGGTGATTCGACAGACGCCTCGGTGTTTCTGGCTCCCGATCCTCCAGAGAAACAGCAGCGTTAGTGGTCATATGCCGCCCACATTTGTCCCGTTATTCATTACAATTAATTGCTTCCCAGCCTTTCCCAGGAAGACGTCGTCGCTGCAGATTGTAATATGAGCGCAGGACTTAAAGCTGCCACTCAAACGTGGCCGTGACCTTTCAGAGAAAAGGCTGTTTTTCAGCCAGTTTGCAGCATGAAGGTTAATGTGTGTGTCTGCGTGTACTTCTATCCTTGTGAGAACCAAACCCGAGTAACTCGACCCGACGTTTTACAATCGCACACAGAAAGGTAACACTTAACAGGAAACTAAACGCTTCTGAACTGAATAAATCGTTTGCTAAAAATATCCAAAAGATGCTAATGGTGCAATTTTACAGTCAAATGTGTATATATAAAAAAAAAAAGACTCAGCTGCTCCAACAGACAAAAACTCTGAAATAAATCTGGCTCAGAAACAACAATACATTCAGCATGGTGAAACATTTAAAATAAATAAAAAGAAATTTTAAAAAATCAGTTTTTCTTCCAGTTTTGCTGACATCTATGGACACTTGAAAAAAAAAAAGTCCATGTTGATTCCATTTTGTTCAATTTTTGTACAATAATTAATCAGAAATTCAGCGTTGTCTTTTCTTTACCTATACTGTCACATTTATCGTCATTTTAACTGTGTCATAATGCAGTTGCCATATATTGAAGAGAAAAACGAGCCCACAGTGAGGAAAATGCTGTATGCTAAGCTAAGCTAAGCTAACTCGCCGCAGACATGAGAGCTGCAAGAAAGAAAATTTAAAAAGAAGAACAAATCTCAGTGCATGTGAAAAGAAAAAACAAAAATATGCAAAAGAACTTTGGTTTCTGTTTGATTTTCTTTTTGGTAATTGCTCAGAAACCACATTCACTTCAATCCAAACAAGAGTGTCGCATTCTAGAGAAACACATAAATATTGTTTGACAGTAAACCCCTAACCTCTAACAACAGATGAAGTATTCTGTCAATAATTTGACAAGCTGATGAGTCCAAAAACCCAAAGATAATCACAGAAAACAAGCACAAAATAATAAAATAGTTGATTTTCTGCTGCTTTCAGCTCCAGAAACAGGCGTTGCCGTAACGCTATCCTGAAAAAAAAGCACTGAATTGAAACAGCTGAATATGAAAACAGCCCTCGTGGTTCAATGTTTTCTTTCTGCTGACGCCACTTTTGACTGATGTTCACAAGGAAACACAAAAAGCCCGCAAAGCTCAGCGAGCAACCAGATACATTTAATTAGATAATTGCTTTGTTTCTCTTTCAGAGTGTTCTGACAGAGGAATATGATTCTCTTTGAGCCCGGATGAAGCTGTAATTTCATCCAAACAAAGACAATCAAACATCAGGATTTACGTCGCGCTGCCCACCAGCGATTTGTGACGGGCGGCGACGTTGGCAGCTCCAAGGGTCCTCAGAGCGGAGCTATTGTGACCACACGCCGACACAGCAGAGTTTACTGCACACGAGGGAAAAAAGGCCAGAGTGAAGCCCTGAACCAGAACAGGAAGTGCAGAGTTTTACAAAATAAAACCAGCAGCAGACGCCTGTGAAAGGACCTGTGGCCACGTTGGACTGGAAAATTATTGTTATTTTTTTTAAAATTGATTTTAACAGAATCTACTTGGATTTTTACAGATTTTGTTAAATTATTGCAAAGTTAATTAATTTTACATGTCGGCCATATTATCATTTAAAAAAGCAACTATGTAAATTATTTAAGATGAAATAGTTGTAACGAATGAGTGTTATTTTACAGCTTTAGCCTGTATTTTAATGACACAATTGGGGGAAAAATCATAAGAAAAAAAAATGAATTAACTGTAAAAAAAAACAAAAAACAAATTGTAGATACCCAAATTAAAAATCTATATTTTTAATAACACATATTTTTAATAATAAAAAAAAAATTAAATAAAAATCCTCCCATTGGGGGATCAATAAAAATTATTCTAAAAATTCTTATTCTATTTTTACAAAAATGAATTTCTTCTTTAAAAACACGACACAAAAACCCCACAAGTGTAGAAGCACACAATGTTAACTGTATTTAAATGACCTAAAAATGTGTTTTTTTTAATTAAAAAAAGAAAAAAAAATTGCTTGTTTAAAAAAAAAAAAAAAA